CTGACCTCACACTTACTATTGAGCTCACACTTATTGTTGACCTCATAATTACTGTTGAACTCACACTTACTGTTGAGCTCACACTTACTGTTGACCTCATAATTACTGTTGACCTCACACTTACTATTGACCTCACAATTACTGTTGACCTCACACTTACGGGTTTGGTGCGTCCGGATGTTGTAACCATGAAGCGAACAACTGTCTAGATTCGGTGACACACTGGTCGATACCGTAACCGCATGCTTGGGAAGCCAGCGTCGCCCGGAAATATCTGGTGATGACAATGCACTGTATATCATAAATCATATATTGTACAAGTGTAACTCTGAGGTAATTGTGAGAATCCCATAGTTAGTCCTACTAAAACTATTGTTCACAATATGATATTCCTCCATGTTTTGTAAGTTTGTGAAATAACAACCGAGTCCGCTAAAACTGACCATAATAGCAGGCTATACAACTCTGATCGATCTATTAAACACGGGACTTTGTCGTCGAAATCTAGCGGCTGCGATTGTGCGAGTTTTATATGTTTGTTAGTGGAAATATGTATACCATATACTTCAGTTGATTCATTACTCAGTCACTTGACTATAGATGTGATATATTATGGACAGCAATATTCTGCTGAATGGTTCACAGTTATCTGGAGTACTTTGTGTTACTCATACTCACGATTCCAAGTGGGAGGCACCTGTATTATTTAATGTTGTTCTCGTAAAAGGATCTCGTACTTTATTTTCCATAAATTTCTGTAACAAATAGATATTTTAGCATTTCATGGGCACTGTTTTATAAAATACAAAAATAATATGTCTCACTACCTGTATTTGTTGTAATCGTTAGTAGCACTTCTTTGCTATTAAGATATAATCATATTATTAAGATTTTATAATTTTAGAAGATGCAAGAAGTCTGATAGTTATACCGGTAAAAACCTATTTTAGATCCATGATGTTAACGTGGATACAATAAACATTTACCAAACTATCTAAAAAGTCATTGATAACTGTTGATTTTTTCTTAAAAAAATTGTAGCTCTTGATATTTCGACGAAAATATTTGGAGTCATAATAATATCCCATTTTGTTATCCATGACCGTAGTCATCCTTTCATTTACACACACACAGGCCCCAACTACAGGTGTTTACTAGTGGTTGACATGATGTGTAAGGTTTACTATTGGTTGACATGATGTGTAAGGTTTACTATCATTTATTATTAATTTGGAAATAAGAATTTTGTTGTTGTAAATAAGAAACAATATCTACCTTTTAATCGTTTGAAAGTAATCATTATTGTTATCATTTGTTGTTTCTTAATCAAAGCCACTATTGCTATATTTGTATGAGTAATTGAGTATTTAGGTTCTAACAAATTTGCTGCCATAAATTAATTTTCAAAATCAATCCTATTAAAAAAGACATTTTGATTATTGTGATGTTATTGTACAATCTACCATATTTTGCAAATGAAGAAAATTATCACATGATATTTTATCTGAACTAGAGTTAACATAATTATCACGTGACATTAGATCAGAGCAAGAGTTAACATAATTATCACATGACATTAGGTCAGAGCGAGAGTTAACATAATTATCACGTGACATTAGATCAGAGCGAGAGTTAACATGATTATCACGTAACATTATAGGCCTATCAGAACGAGAGTTGATATAAAGGGACGTTAGCTACAGGTAACCTGTACAATATACTTACACTAAATGAGCCGTATAACTCTGTCCTCTCCAACATCGACTTCACGTATCCCAGCTCCCCGACGGCCGATTCCCACACTATATACTCCGGTTCCATGTCTAGGTACTCCACCGTACTGAGGGCCGTCTCTATGGGTAGGTCACCCGATCTGTAATACACAAACTACTAATGGACAAGGAGGGCAACACACAAACTACCAATGGACAAGGAGA